GGGACAGGTTTCTGGAGGGAGACACAGACGGTGGCATTTCTGCCACAGTTTTCAAGTTTTATTATTGCTGCAGTTGTTTTTTTGGTGCTGTGGGTCTTTGAGACGTGGATTTCAGCTTCTTATTATTCAAATAGCCAGTGGCTGTTGCTTTTACTGTCCTGCCCTAATTTCACATGAGTTTCTGTTCATTTAAATATGAGTGTACACATAGGACATGCAAATTACAGCCCCAAGATACTGAGATAGAAGTAAAGAGAAGGAATGAATGACGTTTAGAATGGGAAAAGCTTTTTAAACCCAATTTATACCCTAGCAGGTTTTATGCCATAAAATTTTGTAAATGAAATCTTCGCTCTTATTACAGAAGATGGTGGGTACTATATTTTTCTTTCTTCTCTTAATGTAATTATACAGACTATCCCAACAGCATTTTGTTTTCAGCCAGCTATCTTTCTAACCCGATGTGAGCATTTAGTTGCTCAAAATTAAAAATGTCAGTGGCATATTTCTAACATGCAGTATACTGAACCACTGATGTAGGTGGTGCATCCAAGCAGAGTTCTGAGTTGGCCATGTTATGGTGTGCCCAGGGACGTACGTTGGTCCAGTGATATTTTAATGTCCTTTTTGTAAATGTAAAAGGTTGGAAGGGACTGTTACATAGTTCACAGCTAGGTTTCCAGCACTAAGTTAGTTTTTTAAGTATTACTATTTTCAATTGGTTTTGATTAATTTAATAGTGATCTTTACCTATTTAATGCCTTACAACCTTTATTTTTTCCATGCAGAAAATTAAGTGTATGCTTGTACCTGGGAAAAAGTGGTGCTTGCAAACTCTGTGTTACAATTGTTTAAAAATCATCCTGCGCCTTGTTTGGCATGAGGCCTAGCTAGCTAGCATCATTTCAAAAGAGAGCTGAGAAATGAATTGAAGTGAATGGTAGTCAGTTTGAACATTTACTAGAATAAATATGTTATAATGTCTGTGGGTCCTGACTTTTGCACCACCCTCTTAAGATTTCTAGCTTTCTTTCTTAAAATTTACCATCCTTTCCTTGCCTCTCTTACCCCAGGCAGTAATACTCTTGTGTTCTCTTCTTTAATACTCTTCCACTTTAGTGTTGCTGATTCCTGTTTAGCCATATACATTCCGGTATCCCCACTTCTTTGGCCTACATACAGCTCATTGTAATAATTGCTGTAGTGTTGCACATGAGGTAATTTAGAAATTTGTATACCTGATTCATGTGATTGGATTGCAAAGAAAACACTGGGACTGATAAAGAACTGGGTTGGGAATACTGTTTACTGGGAAGTGGGGAGGGAAGTAGATGCAGGCAACATGAGATGAAACAAAAGGAAAAGGTAGTTGGGAGACATTCAAAATGGGCCTTGTGTTAAGCTCAGAGTAGGATACAGGACTAGCCTACAGAATTAGGACTGATGTTTGGTTTGAGGTTTTTCCAGTTCAGAATCTGTGTGTTAAATATAATGGGAAAAGGGACTCAGCCTTTAGTTGGCTGTACAGTGGAGAACCCTACTCAAATATGCTTTAGAAGCTAAAAGCCAAGAGCCTTGATGAAGAACACACATATTGCCCAAAAGTTAGCAGAGCTGAGCTTCTTAAAGTATCTATTTAATTTTTACATACTTAGGCCAATTTTTACAGTTCTTACGTGTTGCTGGAACAAGTTGGCTGAATACGAGATGAGCTTTTTGTGAGCTTTTTGCTTTCCCAAAAGAAGTAATGAATGTCAGCTTCCATCCAGTATAACTGTTTGAACTGTGCCTAGACTTCAAACTTGACTGGGGGAAACCCTACTTATTTAATTTGCAGTGTAAATTTCTTTTGTACTCTTTGTTTGAATTATTCCACTATTAGTTTCATATTTAACTATGTATTAATCTTTTCAGCAACTCTATTATATTTTCTTGTGCATTGTTGAAGCGGTATGGTTTGTCAGTGCATATGGACCAACTAAATGTTTGACATATTTATAACAGACAAGGAAGGAACGAATGACATGCCTGAAATAGAAGAGACGGGAAGGACTTGTGATTCTTGGCAAAGTGATCTGTGGACATGGGTGAAAGACAAATTAACAGAACACTTGCATCACAGCACTGTATTCCCAGAAAGCATCCCACGTAAATTTGATTATATGCATAAAGATTTCATTTTGCAGCAATACAACCTTCATCCAGCAAAGCATAAACCAAAAGAATATAAAACAAATATGGAAAGCCATGATTTTAGCAGCACTGGCCATTATGAAGTGACAATACTGGGTAAGTGACAACTAGTAGATCCCCCGTTTGGAAAGCATTCAAATCTTAATGAGGTATGGTTTTGTAGCATTATCATAGTTTAACAAAGAATGCTGTTTCATTTTTTTTTGAAGTTGAATGGACTACTCCAGTTTGTCCAGTGCTTATTTGGGCATTAGAAAAGAAAACTGAAGGAATTGTTTCTTTATAAGCAGTCTTGTTACAGATATGAACTTTGGTTATTTTAAAAAATATTATTGAAGTGCTAAGCCAAGCTCCAAGGTTAAAGTTGAGTTGAGATTTTTGCATTTAATGTTTTCAAAGTTACGGCTCTTCAAATTCTGAGAAGGTATTTGTAATTTGAGAGAGGGCCCATTTTAAAATCATGTATCTAAAATCTAGCACCCGTTGAATGTTTCTTTGTCCAAAATATATTTTAAAATAAAGGAAAACAGATTCCTCAGACTGTATGTAGTAGTTCTTTGAAAGCCAGTACAAGAATGGTTGAAAATGTCATCCCTCTGTTAACTGACATTGCAAATCTGAAAATATTTTAATAGCTCTACTTTCCATACAGTTAACACTCGTAGCAAATTTTGTGGATATACATTTGAAGAATGTGGGTTGCAATTAAGGTATTAAGCGGTAAAATTATGGACAGGCTCTGTTCAGTAGGTCAGGTCACTCTTAATTGGAGCTATCCTGATATCAACAGCAATTTACTCAATCATACGTCCTCTTCAGCTAATTTGCATGCATGAGAGTTATTGATTGAAATGAGCAAGTGGTGTAAGGGGAACTGGATATGTCATGAGTGCTCCTTTAACCTCATCTATTACTGGATTGGTTCCAATAGTCATGGCTCTTAAAGTACCATGGCTGCATTATGATAAAATAAAGGTCAAATTCATCCAGACCCTTCACCTGCTTTATGTTCCTTCTGAGTAGCTCAAAGCAATAAAATGTACTAATGATTTTATACTCAGTCTTTAAAATTAAACCTATAAATAAGGGCACATGCATCGAGGCTACTCCAACACTCTGTAATTACAGTGTGTCGGAGCAGACTTGACTTACTGAGTCTGCTGGAATGTGGTAATTACCGCGCTCCATGAGACTCCAGCATCACGTTAAACATATAAATAAGGGCACATGCATTGAGGCTACTCCATCATGCTGTAATTACAGCGCATTGGAGCAGGCTTGACTTACTGAGTCTGCTGGGATGTGGTAATTACCGCACTCCA